TAATAATGTAACAATAGGGTTGATGTTCGCGGTCATAATGCCCGCGAACATCATGCCCGCGAACATCAACTCTATTACTATAATATATAATAAACTATAAACTATTATTGCTATAATATATGTTCAACATCGTCAGCCTTCATCCCCTTAGCTCAGTAAGTCATGCGACATTCCATGTCAGTTCCAGTAATTGTTCATCTCAGACCTTGAAAGAAAAAAAACAAACATTCCAAACACTCCAAACACTCCAAACACTCCAAACACTCCATGTCTTCTGACCTGGATTCAAGTTTACTGCTTTTATCATCTTTTTTATTTCACGTTTCCATTTTGAACATGTCCAATTGCAAAAAAGTATCCAGCCGACTTAAAATAGTTTTATTTTTGCAGTTACTTTCCAGAATATACCGTTTGGTTAAGACTTGTGTATTATAGTATATCATAGTTTTAAAACTTCTTTTTCTGTCAGATATTTTCAATAATTAGCTATCGAGACCATCCTCAGTTGTTCGGGCTGGAATACACAAGCGGTCAGCTGAGAAATTACTCGTCTTCCGACAGGTAGTTTAAAAAAGCAGATTTTGTATGAAGCTATATAAAATATTTCTTGTTCTGAATGTTTGTATTTCACTCAATCTAGGGATATATCATTGGCTGGTTAGCTACACGGGGTTAGAGGCAGTGGAAATGGAGATGTTTGTGTAAAAACGACCCCAACGAAGAGACTGTACGCTTTTTCATAGATGATTGAGCGAAAATTATGGTCAAAATTTTCCTGATGAAAATCTCGCACTGCTATGATTGCCGTAAATACGAACCCTCATTTCATTCTCCTCCTGACGTATGGGATCTCATATAACACACAAACAATTACACTTCTCGTCAGGTATTCCTATTAGTCAGTCCAATACATCACATACAGCAAAAGAAGAATTTTTTTTTAAGATGATATATTTTTCAAGGTTATCGTTGGGGTCCATTGTATAACGTTGTTGACGAAGAAGTAGAAAGCAGTCATTTAAAATTCCTCGCTGCGTCTCCAGGTGAAATATTTCTCTTTTTATTTCACTTTAAATTTTTGAAATATCTCCAAAAGCTTATATTGTCTTATTACTGGTTCCTTGCAGGAAATTTAACCGAAGATGTGTAGAGATTTAACTGCAATATTTCCTACAGCGGTCTACTTCATGCAGTCACCCAAGACGTAAGTTGACAATTTCTTATTTTGTACTTTTCTGCAGACAAAATCCTGTGTAGAGAATATTATTGCATTTTTACTGAGTTTTAAGTTCTGTCAAAATCTGGATTAAGGCTGTTTTCCACTCACGTGTTTTTCATACGCACGTTAGTTTTCTGCATATTTTAGTATGCATTAGTTGACCTAGATTTACAACAATAATCGTTATAAAGGAAGCGAGAATAATTTAAATTGGCAATTGAAGCTTATTATAATCATAAACCATGTACGTACGGACTCGAGTTTACTTCATAGTCGATAGCGTCGACAGCAAATGACATTGAAACGTTTGTATGGATATTTCGAAGTCCTGACAGTATAATTAATATCCCGTAGGTTATTTCAAGCAAATATTTGACTAGCGACGTCGAACAAGGCCAGTTAACCGCGTCGTGGATCGTAAACTGACCTCAATACAGAAAGTGGGGACAAAATAGCCAAAATACAAAACACTTTGTTCTAGGCCTCTCAGTTCCCGCCTCGCCGCGTATAAGGAACGTTAAGAGGCCTAGGGACTACGCTGCGGTAACTCTGGTTGCTGAGTTGACTGGGTCCGAATCCATGAAATGGTAGATTTGAAATTTTCTCGCCAGAAGTACGGCTGGAATATTAAGTCTTTTAAACTCCAATATATATTTCAAACGATTTTAAATATTTTGTAAGGACTTTTCCCGGAGAATAAAGAAAGACTTATCATTAATGCCATCACAATGCTCATTGCTCACGAAGGTATTGTATATCTTTGCCAATAAATATATTTAGTGTTCACCCTAAAATATACATATTCTGACTGCTATTACCTTCACAGGTGTTCAATATATACATAAAATAGTTAAAATGTTTCGTCTATTTGCAGGAGACCAAAACAAAATATCAGATAAAGATCTCGAAGCACTGTTTCACGCTTTGAGCATTAGGTTGGATCCAAAGCAGGTTTCACAACGCTCACTAGGTGAGAAACGTTTATCTTTAACCACAACACACACGCTGTTTACTCAACCAGCTCACTTCTCTAGACCGTGTTTCTGTTTGTTTTTACAGCTTCTATGAGAAGGTTGGTGTGAAAACTGTGAAAGCTTTGAAGAGGAATAATGAAGCCGTGACTCACGCCGCTGTCGACATGCTGTGTGCTCTGATGCAGGTAAAGAGAGGGCTTTCCTTTAAGCGGCCAAAATGGTCAGACCGGTCATATTTAAATTTAAAATAGAGTATTTCGTTAAGAATATAGTTGCGAAATTTCCGAGCTAGACAGATGCAAGTAACGATATACTTGAACGCAGAGTTCTTGAAACACTCTAAAATACCAGTAATCTGTCTGTACCGAGATCAACAATAGGACCGGTCTGGCCGTTTTTTCCGTATAAAGGAAAACGCCAACACTTTAACGATGAATTTCCTGGTAATATGTTGCCAAATCTGTCACTGTCATTAGTGTAACCCGTTTAACTTGCAATCCACATAAACTCAGCCAACTTTGAAATCTGAATGTTAACAGGATCCAATTTTATCGAAACCAATTCTGTTTTTTTATATAGCCAACGCACGATAACTATGACATTCGACAAGAACAGATAAACAAAAGCTCTTTGTTATCCTCTGAAAAATTTCTAAGCAGTTTGTTGGAATTCTCACGATAAATGTGGTAAGATGTGCGGTGTTGGTTGCCTATAATCTATGCTGAACCCTTGCGTTTTATTTTTCCATCCCTCTTGTATGTATATAGCTTTGTTTTGGAAGAGAAATTCCCTTGCAAAACCCAGCAAGTGATTCGTAGCAACTGTCTTTCTAATTTGAACTACCTTTCTAACTAAACACAAGAAATAGATTAACCATGAAAACTTTTCTTCTATATTCGTTCTACTGGGGTTTTAGTTATAAGTGGATTGCTTGATTTTCTGACGTTTGCTCTGTGTCCTCCTTACAGGTTTGTTCTAGTTGCTTTGCAATATATTAAAATAATACGGGGGTGAAGTTGGACATTCATGTTAAACTAATAGTAAGGTGTGATTGCTTCCAATATTTTGAATCAACTCATGTAGTCTGTTACAATAAATCGACTATTGCATATTCCTCTTAGTGAGACAACAGATGATGAACAGTTTGGGAAATTACTGGAAAAAGTTGCAGGTATGCTACAAAGAAATTTGAGGAGCTTTTCATTCAACTTGTCTTCTTGGTAGTTTATGGCTCTTTGACTGAGGTTGAGAGTTGATTAAATAGCCTTTCTCTCTTTACCTTTTTGGTGAAGTTTACCACGTCCACTAGCTTGACCCAAGCATAGGAGCAACTCATGAAGTCTGTTATTTGTTTGTCTAGAAATGGGTCATTGCATTTATCGATTGTTCCAGGTAGGTTTACGACAAAACTAAATAATAGCACCAATTTTACCATTTCTTCACTTATGTATGTTTTACTATTGCCCCGCTAATGGTTCTTACCAATCGTGGTTTTGAATTCGTTCCTCAACAATTTCAGCATCCGTCGACCACAATTGTGAAAGGTGCTGGCATGGTTCTGAAGGCGATAATTGAGGTACGTTTTACTCATTTATTCATCCATTGAGAATTTTCTGCCTTTGACGAACGTCATTTATAACGCTCTGCATTTTTTTAGCCGTGATGAATGTACATATTAGTTCCGTTGATATTTAAGAGGTTTTAAAAGGTCTTAATTTTGAGAAGTATTATACACACTTCAAATCAAGCCAGGAACAGATGACGGAAAAATGAGTGAACTATAGATCCTCCGGCAGGAATCGAACCTACGCTTTTGCGATGCCGGTGCAATGCTCTTGTCACTGAGGACGTATAGTTGACTCATTTTCCATCAACTGTTCCCTGCTTGAATTTGAAGTGCGTATAATACCACTCGAAATTAAGACCCTTTAAAACCTCAAGAATATTCCTGCATCGTGTGAAGTGCCTAAAATCATCTGTTGATATTTAGTTAGAACTTCACTTTAGGAAGCTGATGAAGAAACCGCGGCAAAAATACAAGTTCTGGCGCTTGCCGAGGGCGCTCTACCAAAACGCTTACGCATGGCCATGTTTATGCAAAGCACTTATAGACGTTCGCTATTGAACAGGTGCGAATTAATGTGATAAATTAACAAATTGTTGCAGAGGTATAGCCTCTATTCCATCCGCAGGACCTGAGTTGTATTTAGCAACATTCTCAGATTCATCTTAAAACATGTGATTTTATAATCCTCTATATACTAGCCATCTGTAAATAGTTCAATTGAGACTAACAAGCATACTCCATAAGTAATTTATAATCATTATTGTTGGCATAGCATCATCCAACAGCAATGGCATTACTTGCGAGAATAATGTTCGTATTAAAGTAGTTATAGTTTTTAATGTCTAAAATATACAAGAAAGTTTAAATGCGAGATTTCCTGTTCATAATTTTTGGTTCATAAACAATTATGTAATAAATTTGAATACGATTTTCACAGCCTGCTGGTTTGCTCTATTACCTTGAAAGCCCTGACGAAGTAAGAAATCTTTGAAAACTTTTTTGCGAGGGCCATTATTTACATAAACCCATTGAGGTGATTCTGACTGACCAATCGTATTCATGACTAAGGGATATCAACTGCTTTGGTAACTAAACTCCATCATTCATCCTTAAACTGTGCCAACTGCCCCCCTGACGAAATAATTAAATGGTAATTCATTCAGAAGTGTAAAACCTTTTTGTAAAGAAACAATTTTGTTGGAAAGTTTTTATCTTTCCTTCAGCCACCAGAGACTGAAGAAGATCGTTTATCAATTCGTGACAATGTAAAGCTTGCAGAAGTACGTTTTAAATCAACAATCGCGTTCCAAAATTTCATAATGCATGCTTGCATGTACGTATAAGCCTGTTATTTCACGTGCTATACTTGTGTCTTAGAGCTCTGGAAAAACGAGGGGAACGTTGAGGAATCAACTTGAAGGATATCTCTCGCATTGGAGGACAAAAATAGGATTCAAATCCAGGAAAAATGTGAGAATTTAAATCCAGTTTTTTTATTAAAAGTAAGTGTTCATATTAAGAAAATGGGAAAATGTTCTAGTCGTTTGAAAGATGAAAAAGCAATGATATTTAAGCGGATCTTTTTTACAGATTCAGTCAAGATCTGACAGCGTACAACCTGATTTGGAATTACAAGGTGAGTCTCGAAGTTAAGGTTAGTTTCCGTTGAAAATATAGGAAATGGAAATGTAATGGAGGATTTCCTGTCGCTATGAGTATAACAGGACAAATTCAATAGTCCTGACCTCTTTCTCTAAACTGTTCTCGTAAAAGGGTATGAAACAATTTCTTATGTTTTCAATGTGACAGACGCGAGAGGAACTTCTGGGACATTCGAATCTGATTTGCACGCATTTGCAATGGAAAAAGATCTGAGTGGAAACTACGTTGTCTTTTGGAATCACCTTTAGTTTGAAGTCCTGTATGAATGTTTAGCTGATGAACTGAAATAGGTTAGTGATAAGCCTAACTACTCTAGCTTTTTAACAGTTCTTCATAAAGCGTCCCCCCCTTATTCCTCGATAGGAATCAAACTCATTAACGTATCTCTGCTATCAGGTGACTATTATTTGAGAGTCTTGTTGGAACAAAACGACGAGGAGACGCCGATAACAAATGTGTGAGTCCACGACATTTATCTATCAGGGTTTGCAAATATTCAAACTACTTTCCATGTGCTTTTCTGTCTGGCTTCCCCCTATTCTCTATATTGCTGCACAGTTCACGCAATGTTATTTGTCCTGCAGAATGTAGTAGAGAAGTATAGAATCATGGATGAAACCATTCAAGATTCGATCGACTTTTCTATTTTGTTTTCAGGCTCGAGTTGTCTAACGATCTGTATCACTGATTCCTATTGACAACTAAACCAACTATGAAAGCATTGTGCCTTCAGGTGAGGATGTCGTTTAGCGCGAATGTAGCTATGTGTAGCCTTCGAAGAATGAATTAAACAAATTGGAATATTTCATTCACAGGCGATGACTAAAGTTTATGGAAAATATCACGAAGAGATTGGAGCTTTTAATGACCCAAGCTAAGGATCATCTGTTATTGATCCAGTGTTACTGCAGGAGCGTGAACTAAACTAACTTTATTCATACTGTTTCGTATTTTTAGCATTTACATGAAAATGGCATCACTAACAGGGATTGGAAGGTAAGCACGCCCTAATTTATTTATCTCTACTGTCTTTATATCCTAAACTTTAACGACCATAATTTAACTTTTTCTTCTCTAGCCAGAAAATGTTTTATTGTGTTCCTCGTATGACGAAACGCTTATAAAGGTTTGTGTCGGTTGTGTATTGAACTTGTGTTTAAATTGCCCTTTAAATTGTCTTTGAAGAAACCATTCGATGTGACCATTGCCAGCAAATCCTGGAAGTCACTATAATCTCAATTCCGAGTTTTTGTCCGTGATTTCGTTTTACGAAAGCCGAGCGCATTCTGCAAACGTTTTAGGTTCAGTTATTTCTCATTGTTACAGTTTCTCAATGATAACAATTAATTTTTTAGATCAGAACTCCTATATGGAACACTCTGTGGTACACCAAGTTACCTCGCTACCAAAATGTTAATCCCGTAGCCTGAAGAACGATCCTACAAGAAATCGTGTGTTATATGTTTGGTATGCCATATACTTCAGTTTACTCAAATTCACGTAGTGAACACGATTTGTAATGAAGCTGGAGGTAGGTTAACCTCAATTCAAAATTGGAGTACGTCAATGAAAAGTTAACGTCTTTTAGACTTTCCGGATCTTCTTTATTTTCAAAGCAGGCAAATAACCCATTGGAGAAACAAGTCAAAGAAGGGTCGTATAAATTTCCGAACAACCTCTGGAAGAATGTTAGCAGTGAAGCTAAGGATCTTATAACAAAACTGCTTACTGTTGGTCACAGAAAATGCATCACGGTTTCAGAAGCTCTGGAACATCCTTGGATGAAGGTGATGATGAAATTACTAACCGCCTTATAACACCCCGCATCTAAGATTTTTCAAAATCGGCTGACCTTTTTCGTCTGAAGTCCCAGCTTTTTCGAATTGTTAGAATTAGTTTGGTTGAAGTTTAGAACGGATACACCTATCCAGCATAAATAAAGTCAGTTTAGTTCAGGTTTCCTCCTGTAGTAACACTGGATCAATACGGGATGACCCCTACTGGACCTCCATGAAGGACAATTTAGAACTGATAGAACTATACGGTATAAATAAAATTAGTTCAGTTAGGAGAGAAAGCTTTTAAGTGTTAGATTGATTCACGATTTAACAAGGTTTTTGTCTTTTGTAGGATAAAGAAATGATAGAAAAAGCAGAAAAAATGATAAAACTGACCGTGGATGGAAGATCAATGTCTCCGCCCTTATAAAAGGTATGTTGAAAACTACGATACTTGTCCCGTTCTTCCGTCCAATGACCCTTATTTTCAACTTGCAATTGCAATGAAACATTACATGTTTGCAAGTTACATCGAAATTTAACCAGCTTTCCGAAACAATCTCAAGACGCTGTTACACTACGCAACTTTCCTTGCAAATTGCAAAACCATTCTACTCCTGAGGCATCTAAAGTTGTCAAATACGAACATCTATTACGATCGGCTAACGTTTCCTTAGTATTTCGAACACTCTTTACAAATTAACATCCTTCGGAGTTATAATTGCATTGCAAGTTGTAAGGAAAATTGCATATTGTATAGTAGCGCCTTCAGTAAAGTTGAAAACTCACCGTGCAATGAAACATTGCATGTCGGCAAGTTAAAAGGCAGAAAATAACTGTCACCGTACATGGTGAAGACTGGCCGATGGTCACGTTCAGCAGACGAGGCTCTGCGAGCAAATAAAATACTCAGTGGGTAGCCAGCACGACAATTTAGCAGCATGACTGAAAATGCTTCATGTAAGATCACATCACTAGTTATTCCGATAAATAAAAGAACAGGGGCCGGTTGTTCGAAAGGTGGATAAGTCGCTATCCAACGGATAACTCACTATCCAACGGATAAGTTTTATCCAGCGTGTGATTTGGGTTGCACGAAGCTTGTATAACTTTATCCAGAGGATAAAAATCGCTATCTATCGGATAAATTTATCCAAGGTCCGGAGGTGGTTTAAATCCACTATCCAGTGGATAAATTCAAAGATACAAGGTAACACTGTAAACATTTATATAAAATAGGACAAAAATGCAATATTCCTCTTACTGTGTTTCAACAAACTAATACACATCATGATTGTATTCACTATATATTAAAAATGTTTTCGAAGTGCAATTTGTCGCAGCAGCGTTTCACGTTGCCTACACATTCCGTTCGACCGGCGATTTTTTGGACATCCTCGCATTTATAACAGGTGGTAAATTTACTATACGCTTCTAATCAGTTTATAAACGCGAATATGCAAAGAAAGATTCAACCTATTGTAACGGGCCGAGCTGTCTGAGACACACACACGTTCGATCCAGTTTCTAAGTGTCTTTTATTTCATCCTCGTGCTCCCTATATACATGTGCTCAAGACTCTCATATTTCTAATTACAATAGTGCACTGTTACTTTATCTAATTACAATAGGTGCACTGTTACATTTTCCCCTCACTTAAGTTTTCGTCCCCGAAAACAACATATTTTTACATAGTCGACGATTTAGCTAATCGTAAGCATAACGTTCGGGAGGACGTATGTTTTGCCGAAGTTGATAACGTTGGGGGTCACCTCTAGGCCTACAGGGAGGTGGTTGTAACACGGGGTGCTCGGGCAATGCGTGAACCACTGCGAAATCACCCGACTCACGACCAGGAGCAACGATTCGGCCGCTATCCAGTGGTATATAGCCTGTCTTAAGGTTGTCGTGGTGAACTACCATAACTTTTCCATCATTCGAGCTAACTCGATAGGTCGTCCCCATTCTCTTCACTACCTTATACGGCCCTATCCACTTCCTACCGAACTTACCTTTCTTTGGGCGTTTCACCCAAACGGTCTGACCTACTGCATGCGGCTTCCAGTTCTTATTGTCGTGATTTGAACACCTGGTTGACCTTACCTTATCTAAGTGCTCTCTAGCTAGCTGCCTAACATTCTTAAGGTTATTGCGGACTTTCTGTGCGTACTCTGGTTGAGTGCTTGGATTCCCAGTCGTTACACCGAATTCTAATTCCAGAGGCATGCGAGGTGTTTTTCCGAATACGAGTTCGTACGGGGAGAGCCCAGTAGATTCATGTTTGCTTGTATTATAGGCAAAGAGAACGGGATCTAGCCAAACATCCCAATCGTCAGCATTGTTAGACACATAATGCGCAAGCATATCTTGTAGCGTGCGATTCTGTCGCTCCACTTGGCCATCCCCGGAAGGGTGGTATGCTGTGGTTCGTGTTTTCGTTATCCCCATAATGTTACAAATTTCGTGCATTAAGATACTTTCAAAGTTTGACCCTTGGTCTGAGTGCAGCACGAGCGGCGGTCCAAAACGCGAGAATACTTTGGATATTAAACAGTCGGCCACGGTTGAGGCCTTTTGATCTTTCGTAGGGAACGCCTCGCACCATTTGGTAAAATGGTCCATGATAACGAGTATATATTTATTCCCCCTCGCGGTCTCCGATATGGGGCCCATGTAATCTAATGCCCAAAATGTAAAAGGCTCACTAACACTGATCGTTTTCATAGGCGCTTTATCTGGATTCGAAGGTGATTTGCGGCGCTGGCAAGATACGCAATGTTGGATATGGGCTTGCACAGAGGCACGCAGATTTGCCCAATAAAATCTTTCGCGAATACGCTGTTCGGTTCGTGCTGAGCCGAGATGACCGCACGACGGACTATCATGCATACCGTCGAGTATCTTAGGCACTATGGATTGTGGAATCACAATGGCGTGATCAGGATATGTGTACTGGTTGTGGCGAGATCGTACTAGTAAACCATTATGTATAAATAAGCGATCGTAATTATGCCAAAAATTTTTCAGAACTGGGTCAATGCTCCACTCCTTGAAATCTGGGCGTGGTTTCTTGTGCATCTTAAATTCCAAAACTTTCGAGATATTGCTGTCCTGCCGTTGTGCTTCATGTAGGTTTATAGTTGGGCTTACAGTAATTGAGTTAATTTTTTCATGCCTAAAGACAGGTGTATTCTCAGTTGCTTGTGTTTGCGGTTGGAAAGCGCGCGCGTGTGGGTTGAGTAATTTGTTTGTAGTGCATTTTTGCGGCAATGTGATAAAATCGATAGCGCGTGCACAACTAGCCCAAAGCATGAAAAGGAGCCCAAGCACATAGATAACAGGCGCTGTTATGAGACGCTTTGCCGTCGCTTTCCATTCAGTTAGCATTGAAGGAATCGTGTGGATAGCGGAAGTTTGACATGTTTCCTCGCATTTCTTAGCTACTAGGCGTGATAAGACATCTGCATTCAAATGCGATTTACCCGGTCGATGTTGAACCACAAATTCGAACTCTTGCAAATCCATTAGCCATCTGGCTAAACGCCCTTTCGGCTCGATGGAATTTAGCCAACGAAGTGCATTATGATCAGTTTATTCTGAATTTGCGCCCTAAGAGGTATAGACGAAAGTGTTGGGTGCCGTAATGAATTGCCAACGCTTCTTTTTCAGTGGTCGCATAATTGCGTTCCCGTTGCGTCAGACTGCGAGAGCCGTATGCGATGACTCTTTCTATACCATTGTCATCGTGCTGGGCAAGTACAATACCTAAACCAACATCTGATGCGTCCGTGTAAAGAGTAAACTCGCGATCGAATTTTGGGTAAGCTAATAAGGGTGCGGAACAGAGCTGACGTTTAATTTCCTTAAAAGATATTTCGCACTCGTTCGACCAATCAAAAGGTGTTCTGGCGGCTTCTTTTGTTGTAAGTTTAGTTAGAGGCGC